GGCACAAAGAGGAATGCAAAAGCAATTAAAAGCAAATTTAAACTATGGTGGTTTATTAAAAATGTAAACACAAAAGGAGAGCGCAAGAAAAAACACACGTCCGTTCACTGGGAAAGGTGAAAGGAGGATAATAAAAGTAACTGAAAAAGAAAAAATATGGCTTATTTACAATAATCTATAAAGTGCATGGAGATGCATTACGGAGCAGATGTTTTACCTGGAAATAAACGAATTTCGGCCGAAAAAAAATCAAGACCAAGACAATCCACAGATTACTGAATTCCCTGCAGAATGATTATATGCAGGATATAAGAAATCACATGACTCAACAGTTATTGAAGAAAATTTGTGTTCGACAATTTAACAGAGAAAATGGAATTGGTCAGTAAATGGTGGTGCGATTAATCATCTGGACAGAGTACAGAATATTAAATATCATATGACAATTTTTTCTTAGCATCTATTGTGCTTTGCGGCTAAATACAATACAATTTTGGTATGCTTCAATTCGTAAGAAAATCACAGGTACTCATTAAGACAACTCAAAATGGCCCGAAACCCGGATATGGAAACTCAAACGATGGAAATGCTTCTCGCAAAAGCTTATTGAAACATTCAGGAAATCATTCAAAAATTAGTTACGATCTTCAATGTACTCAATTCCCAAGAGAACATTGATTCTGTAAAATTGGAAGATGTGCTTCTATCACATTGACTCCAACAGTCCACAAAATTTTTGAAAATTTTCGGTGCAGGAACAAGCAAGGGCACGACTCTTTTCTGAGGGAATATCGGTTATTTTATTTCGTTCTTCGTCTTTCATTTCATATAGAACGGCCGTGTTTTTGTTTTCCGCTCCGAATTTTTGTGTTTTAATTGTGTCAAACCAACGGGATTTCTTCTAATTCATCATTAAATATTATTCATTTCATACACCGTTTTGTTACCGCGCGTGCACGTAGTTTTCTGTGTAGTTTATATGTATTTCTTAATACTTTTAGTTTTGTGCAGAGACGGTTTTCTTACTATTCTTTTGTTCTCATGTGAGAATGTCTTCAGGTATTGTCTGTGCAATTAAAAGTTGCCGTAAAGGTGTTTGGCTGATCAGTCAAGCCGCCATTGCTGGCTTTGTGACGCTGTAATGCATGCAAAATGCATTGAGGTTACAGGCCGCATAGCAGATGAAATTTCCACCAAATTGATTGCAATATTGCTGTAAGGCCTGTCGATCAGTTGAGACGGAAATAATGTCCTTCATGCGCCAGACCAGGAGCGGAGCACTCAGTTTAACAGTATTAAGCTGTTAAACGAGTCGCAAAAACGCAAAAAATCCGTTACTGGTCGGCAGCAACTGTGTGAGTCACAGCAACCAATTACCTGCCACACCCCCGCGCCACATCTCCTGAATCCAGTACCAAGTCTTATGGTTCTGATATCTGGAGCGAAAAAGGGTTCGGAAACCGAATCGAGCGTGGGGATAACGGTGATAGCTTCGCCAGTAATTTTCTTTTTATCTGCGGTGTCAGAATCTTTGACTCCGCGTAATTCCATCGAAATAATAACCCAGGGTCCAATAACGCCCGGAATACCCGTCGATGTTAGTAACAATACGTTACGTAAGACCCCAACAGCAGTTCCACCATCGAAAACTATATTTGTTTCGAGGCTTGCCCCCGACCTCGCATTGAAAGATGCCTATATACAAGGCAAAACCCCAACTTTAAACTTTTTGACACTATTTTCTCGGGTGATTTCTTGTCCGAGCACGTAGTAGTTAAGGAGTACGTGGCTAAAAAAAACACGGCCTGTGGGAGTACAACTACTTAAGCCGGGACAAGCTAATGAATCCACCGTTGTTCCGTCAGTCTCAAAAAAACTTACCTCTTCCCTCCATCTTTCCTATCGGTACACGCAGCAAGCTCTCGAAGCCGTATTCTGATAGCTTCACTTTTGCATCCTAGGTAATTTGTATACCCTTGCAGGGTATTATAATTTCAATCAGAAGTTTGCAACGCAGTGAAGGAGGCACCTCCGACCATATAAAGTATATATATTCTTGATCAGGATCAATAGCCGAGTCGATCTAGCCATATCCGTATGTCCGTCTGTCCGTTTCTACGCAAACTAGTCTCTCAGTTTTGAAGCTATCTGAATGAAACTTTGTAGTTAGCCTTCTATATACTCTCACTCGTATATATGTCGGAACGGGCCGGATCGGACGACTATATCATATAGCTGCCATAGAAATGATCGGAAAATTTTTACAAAAAAAATTATAACATTTTCAGTTTTTAAAAGAATTTAATGAAATTTGAGATCATTTCATATTATTCTACAATTTTGTGTAAAATTTTATGAAAATCGGACTACTATACCATATAGCTCCCATAGGAACGATCGAGAAATTAATACAATTAAAAATTATAACATTATCAGTTTTGAACAGATTTTCATCAAATTTGAGGTATAGCCATTTTATATCAGTCTTAAATTTTTTGTCAAATTTTATGAAAATCGGTCGGCTATATCATATAGATGCCATACAATCGATCGTTAGATGTGGAGCAAAAATGAAAATCTGTGACTATAAAACTGCAAATATAATATGTCAAGGTGAATAAAATGAAAGCAGGTATTACTTCATTGTTTTTTTTAACAAAAATATATATAATTTATATTGTATGGATTCCTAGTCATAGAAGTTCTATCTGCAGGGTATTTAAACTTCGGCGAAGCGAAGTTAGCTTCCTTTCTTGTTTTTTTAACTGAAACTTGGTTGAAGCCGGAGATATTCTGCTCTGAAATTTTTCCGGGTAAGTACAAAATTTAAAGATTAGATCGGCTTTTCCAGCGATGAGGTAGAGTTTTAATTGCCGTTGACTTCTGCCTTATCTCGGAACTGGTATTGCATTTTTTTGTGTGAAACTATCATTTCCAAGTAGTTGTATTTATATCTCTTTTTCGTTTATCCCTCTATCGTCTGAAAAGCCAACTTATTGGAAACACCTTTCGGCAATTTGGGCCGTTTCCAATAAGATTTCAGATTGCGACCAACTACTGTCTCTGGGTGACTTTAATATACCTGGAGCTCGTTGGTCTTCTGATGGTGTGTCAAATGCCCTTCATACTGTGATACAGCATGACCTCATAGATGGCTTGCTTGATTTGTCTTTATCGCAAGTTAATCTGATCTGTGCTTTGTCTCTGATCGTGTAGGCGTAAACCTAAGTAGATTTCCTCCAATGATGCAACCTGTAGATCCTTACCATCCAGCATTCGAAGTGACGGGTAATATCATGGTAACCTAACCGAAAAGCTGACCAAGTCCGATATTTTCGAAAAGCTGAGTACTTTAATATCCGAATTTAATTGGCCCGATCTGTACATGTGCACTAACATGGCAACCGCCGTGGACATTTTTTACAATGCCATGAACTCGTACATTTCTCTTTAAGTGTTCCGCTCACCTATCCGTTGGTCTCTTTTAAACCGCCTTGGTTCATCAAAGAGCTAACGCGCCTAAAAAATGCAGTCTAAACTTTATAATAAATATATGAACTCACCGGTTCCACACTGTTCTCTGTAGGTTTCTAAGCGCTCGGTCTAACTTTACTTCTTTACTTTTGACTCGTTGTAATGAACAGTTTGTGCAGAACTCAAAACAGTTATAAACCTTTGTTAACACTAAGCGTAAACCCAATTTATACTCTTCCTCACTTACATTTAGTAATACTACCGAAAACTCTGACCAAGCCATCGCCGATCTTTTTTCCGGAGTTTTTTAAAACGACATATTCTCCCTCTATCAGTCAGATATATTCTTTTGCTACGCCCAGTTCGAACTTAATCTTCAGTCCCATCTTGAACGAAAGCCCTTTAATTTTAGATTATTTAGATTAATCGGTTAATCTCTCTCTTCTTTTAAGAAAACTCGATTCTATAGGGTTTCCTGGTGATTTTCTTAAGTGGATTTCGAGTTATCTTAGTTACAGGACTCAAAAGGTTATGTTCAAAATGCTCTATCCGTTAGCCATTGTTATTCACACTGTTTATCAATGACCTGCCGCAGGTTCTAACAAAATCTTGAGTACTTATGTATGCTGATGGCGTTGTATAGGGATAGTTCAAGACAGTCAGAGTTACAATTGGATCTTAACAACTTTCACTCTAACTCTTTACATCTAAACAGCTCTAAATTAACACTGATGACATTTTAACGAGTCACTCCCCTGTTTGCAACTTATATGATTAACGACTTCGCTTTGGAAATAATCTCTCTTGTTGACGATCTACGTGTCCGAGTAGATCCTAAACTTTCGTTCTTAACGTGGCTTAACGTGGAATGCTGACCTTTAATCTTACACAAGTACACTTCTCTTAATAAATTTGCCCTCCCTACCTAACCGTAGAACGATGCTTGGCGTGGACGCGGAGAGCCCTTATCTGCTTGGTCAGCTCAATTTCCATGTTCCCCGACTAACATCTATAACGTATATTCCCTTAGTAGTACATCACTGCAAGGGAGAGTTCGAAGGGTTTTGCGTACTAATTACAATCGCCTCTTTAAATATATTGATGGCATTTAAAGCCTCTCTAAATTTAAAACCTTATTACTTGTAGAATTAGCTCGTAATGTATCCTAATTTTCCTCCATCTATTATCTACTTTCCTTCTCAGGCGTATATCTAGTAAGTACGTCACACGACAGAGCACCTCGGTCGGTTAGGCGGGAGGTGGGCGTGTGGAAAAAAAAAACGATTTTAGCATCGTAAAATGACAAAATGGTGTAGTGAGCGTCCGCAGAAAAATGTCATTCCGCAAAAAAAATTTGATTGCTTTTTTGCTAAATTAAATCAGACATTGTAATGACAATGCATTGTAAAAACTAAAAATGCACTCGTGGGCGTTTGGTAAATATATAAAAGATAATGGTATTGACATTAAATTTCGCCGAGATGTCAATAACAGTCGGTTTAAATGTAAAAAAATTCAATATTTACTTGTTCAAAAGGCTTGGTCAGCTCAGGATAACCGGCAGATATCAACCATTCGGCTTCCATTTCCCCATCTGTAAATGTCATATTTGAATATAACTTATTATGGTATCGTATTCATACCTTCGTAATTAGCATCAGGCTCATTGCAATGTGAACTTGTTTGCAAAAAATATTCGCTAAGAAAATCAGAGTATTCCTGCTCATCTAAATTATCCATCGCTGTAGTGGTATTCATTATGGTTTCTGAATAACGTTTTAGAAAACATATGGCACTTCAAAATGGCAGATTACCAAATAGAAATTGTATTGTTGGTTTTGGAATTCCGACACGATCAAATCACTGCAAATAAAAAAATTTATAAACAATCGTATGTTATTATCACGATATCTCGCATACAAGAATACATAAAAGTTAAAAGTTTGGATACGAATTTAACTCATCTACTCTACCTCTTCTTCTTATTTAGAATAAAACTAATTTACTTATGTTAAAAAAATAGTCATTATATCTATGCTATTATTGGTCGCTGTCGCTCGCTTCGAACTTTACACTTTAATTAAAAATATAGTAATATGGATTTTATATTCTCTTACACACAAACAAGAACGGCTTAATTGCTATTCCAAAGTATTTGATGAATGGAGTATAAGCTTTCTCATTGAATTGACAGGCAAGTTTGAACAATCCAACATATAATCTATACAGGGGTGGTCAAAAGTATTTACACAAATTCAAACTACTACCAAACTACTTTTAGTTATTTTTATTGTGGTTGTTGACCGATATTCTTTTTTATCGCATAGATTGATCTATTCAAAAACAAGCAGAAAACGAAAACAAAAGATAACGGTTCATAAGACAATGCTTAAAGAAGGAGAAAATATGTCTTTATTTTGGATATAGTTTAATAAACTCAATTCCAGCCAATTGAAAAGCCTTCATTGATACCAAAGTCAATTTTTTTAACTAATAATAAAGTAACTTATGAGATAGTCGCTAAAAAATTTTATGTTTTAATAGCATTCAACTTAAGACGAAAACAAATTACTGTATATGCACCTATTCTTTTACTTATAGCATTTTTCTATGAACCGTTAACTTTTGAATTCCTTTTTGGCTCGCTTTTGCATACATAGATCAATTTACGCGATAAGGATTTCAGGAAAATCGGTTACCAACAACAAGAATAACAACTAAGAGAAATTTGGCTGTGAAAATGGTTGTCGTGTAAATACTTTTGACTATCTTTGTATATGGACATTGATGCACTACGGTCAGTACACTCAAGTGGCCCGTATGACACCAAGCACGTGCCTGTTGGGTTAGATATTGGTAAGCGCGATAGAAAATATTGAAAAGAATGCAAAGCAATTAACAACTGGCGTGCTGCCAGATTGTTTGCTTGCATTTGTACTAAGTGTGTTATTAATAAAATTTTAATTTAGGAAGACCCTCTAAGTTAGAGATTAGTGTGTACAAATCATTTTAATTTGCACATAATACTTTAAAAGCTTCATTCAGTTCAAAGGAGGTTCTACAGTGGTGTAAAACTAGTGGTACATAAGATCTAGTACTTCTACATCATACGTGGAAATTGAGCTGACTCAGCACTTTCCGCATCACCATGGATAAGGTTATAAGGTTATAAACAAGAAAGGAAGATAACTTCGGTCCGCCGAATTTATTCACCTATATATGTTTACAGTTTTATATTCACAGATTTGCATTTTCCCTCTGTATCTAACGATCGTTTGCATGGCACCTATATGATTTTCCGATTTTCATGAAATGTGGCTTTATCTCAAATTTGATTAAAATCTGTTGAAAACTAAAAGAGTTATAAAATTTAATAATATTAATTTCTCGATCGTTTCTATAGGAGTTATATGATAAAGTAGTCCGATTTTTATAAATATTATTATTATTATTATATTATTATTATTATTATTATTATATCTCAAATCCAATTCTGTTAAAAACTGATAATGTTATAATTTTTTTTGTAAAGATTTTCTTTTCTATGGCTGCTATATGATATAGTCGTCTGATCCGGACCGTTCCATGGCTAGATCGACTCGGATGTTGATGCTGATCAAGAATATAAATACTTTATATGGTCGGAGGTGTCTCCTTCACAGCGTTGCAAACTTCTGACTGAAATTATAATATCCTGCAAGGGTATAATAAAAGTTATTCCTGCATCGTTCTACGATTGGCTAAGGACGGTAAGTTTATTAAGAGGAGTCTACTAGAATAGGAAGGTAAATTAAGCCGCTAGAGCGAAAAGTAAAAAGATCTTTTGAAACGATTCAATGTGTTTACTATGGACGCCGAACTGAGCGCTCCTAATAAAATATATAAGCATTTAGTAACATAGGGGTCATTGAATTCCTTCGACCACCGTTTAATAAATCCAAAGAGCCGCAGATAAGCGTGTAAGTAGCAAGCTTAGGAACGACACGAGAGAATGTCATTAGCTTGCATTTCGAGCCGTTTAAGTTTGAAAATGATTGAGATCTTTATGTATATCCGACTGGCAGGCGACTCATTGTATTGCACGCAAAGCGTACATAAGCACTCTGGAGTTAGTCAAGACTTTGGGCAGGTCGTTAATAAATAATAGGGAGCCCAAATGACTAGCTTCGGGGACGCCAGAAGTAACCCTGAGAACATTGAATAAGTTATTCTTAAAGAGAACCTATTGTGTCCTGCCATTCAGATTACTTGAGATTCAACTAAGAAGATCATCTGGGAATCCCAGGTTAATTGTTGTTGATCTTCGCTTAATAAATCCATGTTGACATGGAGAAATAAATTATCTGCAAAGGTGGTGTAAATGAGGAGATATTATATTTTCGAAAAGTTTTGAGATGGCCGACAACTTAAAGATTCGTCTATAATTGTTGGCATCCGATTTCCTACCTTTTTTTGTGGAGAGGAATAATAAATGAATCTTTCCAAATAAGGGGAAAGTGGGAGGTTTCTAAAGATAAGGTGAACAATTTTAGAAGGGGATTGCACGGGGCGTCAGCACAATACGTAAGCACACAGCCAGGAATTCCGTCGGGACCAGGCGAAAAAACTGGCTGAGCACGATGTAGATCTACAAGAGGAGAGCGCTTTGGTTCAAACTAGGACTGAAAATTAGGTCCGATTTGGGCATGCTGTAGGAGTAAGACTGATTTGAGCCCAGAGAGTTTAAATTAGTGGTTTATAAAAAAATGAGAAAATAGATCGGCTATTGCCTGATTATTATTACGGTAGTGTTTTCAAATGAAAGCGCGGAAGGATTTGTTAGGCTTACGTTTAGTGTTAACAAAATTATAAAACCGTTTTGGGTTCTATCTGAATGAAACTTTGTAGTTATTCTTATATACACTCTAACTCGTATAAATATCGTAACGGGCCGGATCAAACGACTATATTTTATAGCTGCCATAGGAATGATCGGAAAATGTTTACAAAAAAAATTAGAATTATATGTAAGCCACCCCCAATATCGAGAGTCACATCGAAAGTAGGATGAAAGGGATCTTCGGGTTGCGTTAGAGGTGCCACCCTGGCTAAACTTACTCTCGCCGGATATGAGACAAAGCAAATATCAAGCAAGCGCCATAAAAAAATTTTATACATGGTTGAGTTGAGACTCCGAAATGTCGAAGAAGCCACAACTAAAATCATGTTGGGTAGAGGTTAGTAGGGTATTTGTGGAATTATTTATGTACCAAAAAGCCCCAGGGATATTAAAAGCACGTAGGACTACCAAATGGTATCTATCCAAAAGTCTGTTGGAAACCATCTGAATAGCGGTTAGGTTGTTCCAATAAATAGGAAGTTCCGACAATGGAGGTATGTAGAAACAGGTAATTGACAAAAAGAAGTTGGCAGAGCAAATTGTGTCAAAGAGCTCGTCAGGGATATTTATTTCGAAAGATTTTTTTTTTTTTTTTTTTTTTTTTTTTTTTTTTTTTCCCATTTTGACTGAATTTATTATTGCAAATTACTGTAGTGTAGCAACTTATGCAATAGTGAGCGGAGGAGTTCATTGGATTATTACAAAAGTGTAAGAAGTGAAGAAGTAACAAGTGGCAGGGAGTTTAGTTAGTGTTTAATAAATTTTCCTTTTTGGTAGGTCCGAGGGATGAATCCTTTTAAGTCTCCGCCTTGCCCGCCGAGACGCAAGTCTCCTGGCTAGAATGTTTGGGTGAGACATGAGCTTATTTTTGTAATGTTCGGCTTGTTCATTGATAATATCCCCTAACAAGGGAACTTTAAGGTCCCTCGCTAGGTCAGTGTTCCGAATAAACCACTCAGCACCAGTAATTCTCCTCAGGAACTTGCTTTGGAAGACCCGGATGTAACTCAGATTAGATTTGGCCGCTATGCCATAAACTTGAATCCCATATCTCCAAGTAGGGGCAAGTATGGACTTATATATCTGTACCTTATTCGCCAGACTCAGGTGATTATTTGCCTTTAGGAGCCAGTACAGCCTTCTGGCTTTATCCTCCAATGAACGCCTAACTAACCTTGTATGCTTGGCGAAGGTTAATCTAGTGTCCAGGGTGACCCCCAGGTATTTATAATCTCTGACCTGCTCAAGAAGCTCTCCATGCAGGAACAGTCCAGGGCACGACTCCTTTCTGAGGGAGTGCGTCACTACAGCACACTTTGCCGGATTAATTGAAATGTTCCAGCGACAGGCCCAATTCTCAAACCTTTTGAGGTATAGCTGAAGCATATCAGTGGCGTCATAGATACAGTTGGATCTGGAGAGGACAGCAGTATCGTCAGCAAATGTGGCCAGCATAGAATTATGATCATGTCCCGTGGACTTCGGCATGTCATGAGTGAACAAGCTGTACAGCGTCGGTCCCAGCACGCTTCCTTGGGGAACTCCAGCCTTTATCGGCCTTAGAGAGGATAGGGTACCGTCCTGAACCACTTTGAATGTCCTTTCAGAGAGGAAGCTTCTAACCATTTCGAACAGTTGTGGGTTTAGTAATGGCTTGAGTTTATAGAGTAGCCCTGGATGCCACACCCTATCAAAAGCCTGCTGTATGTCCAGGTAGGCAGCCACCACGTATTGTTTAGAGTGAAACCCCTCGAGTATATACTCAACAACACGGTGCAGCTGTTCAGGGGTGCCATGCCTAAGTCTGAACCCAAACTGAAATTTGGGAAGAGCGTTCATTGCCAACTGAGACTGACGTAATCTTCTAAGGATGCATCTTTCCAGCAGCTTACCAAATGTGGAAAGGAGGCTAATAGGCCGATAACTGTTTAGGTCCTCGGGTGGTTTCCCAGGTTTAAGGATCATTACAATCCGAGCACTCTTC